TTTCTACCCATTCATCAGGGTTTCCGCTCAGGGCGGGGCTCTTATATTTTTCGTAGATGTATGATTCCATGCATGAGGGTAAATGATGAAGGGTTTATTGAGTTTTTGTCACGTCCTTCTAGGCTTTTTCTTCGGTAATAATACTCGATATTTTCGGGTTTATTTTTGTTGTTTCGTAATATAACCTGATGTCGTTTATTTTATTATTTTTATTTTAATGGTTTAATATAATGAAAGTATATAAATTTTTGAGATAGAACTTTTTCACTAAAATTAATTTGTTTTATCAAAGACAAAGTTTAAAATGCCATTTTCTAAAATTTTAGATATCTAGCTACAGCTTAAAAGAATTTTTACAAAGTTTTGTTAGCAAATTTTAAACAAGCATCAAAGGGCCTCGAATGTTTCTATTTCGTATTAAGTGTTTAACTTAAAAAGCCGTTCCTCAGAATCTTTTTCTTTATTCACATAGCAGGTGTACAGTTCGTAAAATAAGAAACAGATTTCTCTGGATAACTTTTAATATAATGATCGGATCTTCTCATTCTGAGACTCAATCTTAGAGGTTCAAGAGAGTGACCTCAAATATGCTAATTAATTATTATAGACGATATCTCAAGTTACGAAATCAGACACAAAAACGTACTTTCTCGGAATAAACGCCAATATTTTTTTCGACAAATTCCGATTTCTGACCCCCGAAGAAGGTAGCTGCAATCTGAGAAATGTTGTCTGAGAAGTTAGGTCAGGAGAGCGGTTCAAAGTTTGAACCCCTTGATGTTAATTTTACTTTTGGCGTATTTCGTCATATCTCGAGAAGCAAATTGAAAAAATTTTGAAAATTTTGAAAAATTTTTCAAGCGAATTGAAAAAATTTTGCACGTAAGTATACAATTTTTTTTATCCAAAGATAATTCCATTTCATAATTCCGTGTAGTATATATTTATTATTTTTTATTACTTTATTTAATAATGATCTTAAAAATTTTGAATTGTAAGGTAATATAATTTTTCACATCATTTTAAAGAATACAGTTTTAAATGCAATATTTGAGCGAAATCGGTCAAATAGGATAAGAACAGAAATCTAATTTTAAAAAATTTGTATTTTTATAAGTTCGACTTCTCAAGAACTATTTAATCGAGTTTGCTAAAATTTCGTATTTTACCATATGCAATTACTTTCTTTAAAATGATGCAAAGAATTATATTTTTTTCCTTTCAAAACTTTTTCGACTTTTATTAAGTAAAATAATCATAAATAATAAATATTTATTAAAATTTATTTTTGCATAGAATTAGCTTTGGTCCGTTTATTTTTTTACGCGTTGTGCTGCTGCTATCTGTGCCTGAATGAGATAATCGTATTCTAACAGCACAGTGTCAAAATTTGGGAAGTGTAGGACACTAGAACACTTTATGTGCTGAAAGGAATGGGGGAAATAATGAGTGGAACGAACCCCCGTTCTGTAGGCCATGAAATTGATAGATTGGACCTCTCGGCTATAATATGTACGCAGCTGCAAGGTACTAGGTGGCTTTATTAGGAAGTTCTGGTTCATGCGATAAAATTCTGGTTGCTTAACCGTATGGAGTGAAAGCTGTAAATAAAGGGTTTTTCTCACAGTTAACAGTTTGAATACCATCCTATTTATGGTTATTTGATTGTTTTGTTTGAATATGGTAAAATAGCAATTAAATAAAATGCTATTTAGCCACTTTTTTCAAAGATATTTTTAACAGTATGATTATAAAGTTAGTTTATGCAAAGTTAATGTCATGCAAAAAATAACTCTTAGTAAATATTAATTACTTTTTATTATTTTATTTAATATTAGTAGAAAAAGTTTTGAATCGGAAAGTAAACAATTTTTTAATACATTTTAACGAATATAATTTTGACAAAAAGCAAAATTTGAGCAAACTATATTGAATAGTTCCTGAAAAAATCAGTTTTTATATGAAAACAAAAATGAAATTTTAAATGTAACTTTTTAAATCTATTTTAAAAAGTAATATATATATATTTACTAAAAGTTAATTTTTGTATCAAATTATCTTTGCGTAAAGGATTTTAATAATTGTATGAAAAATTTTCAATTCGCTTAAAAATTTCTCGAGATTAAGCGAAATACGCAATAAGTAATCCGAATACGTCGAAAAAAAGGTATTTTTATTCAGAGAAAGTACGTTTCTATGTCTGATTTTGCCATTTATATTATCATTTTCATTAATTAATTAGCATATTTCAAGCCACCCCCTCGAACCATTAAAATTGGTTCATAGAGCGTGAAGATCCGTTCATTAGATCAAAAGTTATTTAGGATATTCAGTTCCCCCGCCCCCCGCACTGTGCAAGAAATCCCAAAAGAAGTGAATGCTTGAAAACGCTACTAAATACAATATATATATAT